ACCAAGAGTCTTTGCGTCGATCGATGAAAAAAACATCAGCATTAGCTAACACCCAGCAACTATTTAAGCTTATTAGGGACACCGGCAAGAGGATGGGTAGTGAAACCATCACCGAAAAGGATGGGACGCTGATAACATCTCAAGACAGGAGGCTAGAATGTTAAGTAGAACACTAAAGCATACTTCAACTGGTCCACAGCATCGCTCAAGTTGCTCAGCGTCTAGCCCAAACCTGAGTAGGACATAGTTATCCAACGCTTAACTGGAGCTCAAGAAGAGCAAACTCTAGAAAACCAGGCAGGTTCCAGATATGAACGGGGGTGCATCGATAAGATTTTCACCCTTCGACAGTTTGTGGAACACAGACAATTGCCATATTTCTTGACCTGAAGGCGGCACTTGACTCTGTTGACCGTGAGGTGTTGTGACAATGTTTGACTATGAAGAGAGTATCGAGCAAGTATGTAGCGTTAGCCAAAGCTCTCTGCTCAAACTCACGCAGCCGTATAAGGGCTGATGGAGATTTGTAATCGGAATTGACGACAACTAGTGGTATCCGGCAGGGATGCCTATTGTCACCGTTTCTTCGTTATAGACGACTAATGGACATAACCTTACGTACATCTGACTTCAGAGAGATTGACCTACTCCCTGGAGGTCATCTGGTTGACTTGGAATATGCAGATGATATTGTTTTACTAGGTGAAGACGCTGACAAAATACAGGTAGGGTCTTCGGAACACGTTGAGCAGAAATCTGAATATGTTTGGCATGCATTTGGCACCTGTCAGATGTAAGGTGATGCCTCAGGAGTGGTCTGTTGCCAGTACTCCCAGAGTGATGATAGGGAGTGAAGTGGTGAAATGTGTTGACTGTCTCACTAACATGGGAAGTTGCATCAGCCTGAGTGGGGTGGTTGGTGATGAAATCTCAGCTCGAATACAGAAGGCGCGTTTGGTATCGTTTCAACTCACGTCACCTATGGCGTCGGTGAGATATGCAGCTATCTATTAAAGGACGAATGTACTGCTCTGCAGTCTGTTCTGTCCTGTTACACAGCTGAGACATGGCCGTTGGAAGTAGAAGATTTGAACCGATCACAGATTTTTGATCATAGATGTCTTCGTAGCTTAGCTCGTTTATGATGGGATCACCATATGAGCAATGTCTAAGGTAGGTGAAGGGTACTAAGGGAGGCAGGTCGGCCGGTGAGGTCGTGAATCTTCACCCATTGAGGTGGTCTGGTTGTGTTGTGCGTCCCTAGTCCCCACCTACCTCGCTGTGCAATACTGGGCGAAGTTGGATTAAGTTGGATGAAGGTTCAGAGTAAATGAAGAGCTGGCAGCAGTCGATGAAGTCCCTGACTGTTGGTCTTAACCATGTGGGAAGGTGTAGACCGCCCGTTCGGTATCTTCGAGATGACAGGAGTCAGTAGTTTAGAACTCTTGGTGACATGGCTGGAACTCGGTCACAATAGTGCAGACGTATTCATTCTTTGACTTCTTAAATAGTTGCACTGACTTTTATCTTCCAATTGCTCACTTTCCACACGACTTTGACTACACTCATATCACTCTTTTTCTATCCACTTGTTCCTTCTGGTGTGGTAACTTGAATCTATGCATTTGTGTGCGAGGTGCTATATTGATTTTATCTGTCTCATTGACATATATGTATATAATTTCACTTACACAGAAAAATCAAACCAATCATGGTGAACTTCGGGTTTGTGGTAACAAGCTAATGAAGCATGCGAATAGCAACTATCAATACAATAGTGACGATGGTAATAATAGAAGTGTTGACATTTTTTCAGTGATGATAAAAGTAATGAGGACGACATGGTACTGCCAAAGCCAACATAACCACTACAGGCCGAAACTTGGAAAAATAAAAGTTGCGTAAAACTAAAGAATGAGATACGTAGATCATGCTGTGCATATGAGGAGGGTGAAGAAAAAGAAAGGGGTTGAAAAACTTTACTCTGAAAATTGTTTGATAGGTTTTCACTTGTGAAGTCAGAGGCAAGGGTTGAACAAACTACTTCTGCAAACGAAGATAAGGGTTTTTTTTATTCACAGCCTCAGCTCTGTGTAATATATAAACTGTAAATGCGAACCCCTATTCGCAAGCTTTTGTGGGATGCAATCATCTTAAATGCTTTGAACTTGTCTATTACACGACGACTATTAACCAAGTGCAACAAAATTGAACTTCGTATTAATTTCACCTTTCGTAGTCAAGAGGATAGGTGCTCATTGACACACTCGACAAACTGCGTGTTATGACGGACTGAAGCGATGAAAAAAGAAGTCTCAGGTAACCACTGCCGGCCGTATTATTCTATTAATGTTGAAACACTTTACTGAAGACTGATTTTGTAGTATAATCGCACGGCTCAGTTCAAGAGGTTTTACAAAAGAAATCACATTCAGTGAAATCAATTGTTTTTCTGTGCATGAAACCAGTTGTTTTATTTTTATGAATTATGGTGCGTTGTGGACATGCAATTTAGTATTGTCAGCCAATTTCAACATGACATCTGGCACTACTGCACGACGGTCCAAGTTGCCACCTCATATCGGCATATCAGGCGTGAATGCACCAAGATGGAAGATGAAAACATAAAGTGGGGAGCAGTCAAAAGATGAAAGAAACAATACTGAGATTCAATATGATGATTAAGACGATGGTAACGTTTGGATACATCCGTACCATTGAAATCGATTCTGAACCGTTCCACCTAGTCTCCGACAACCAGTTTCTGTTGTCACGCGCATCCCAAACCGGATAAAAACTTAGTGAACTGATGCCAAGTATTGGACAGACTATCTCTAGTCTTTATCGAGCATGAACCTATTTCAAATATCAATGTGCAACGGGGCAGGCGCCGAGTAGGAAAGCATAACACATCCCAGCCACTTCAGTTGATTAAAGTTCTCAACCTCATCGATTCACTTTCTTCTATTACCTAAAACTCTACACCTGACTTCTAAATGACTGACGTGATGGCACCACGACACATAACCTATGCTAAGATCTTAACGGTGACAGGACCACTGGAGCCTCCTTATATCCTCTACGTTTGATGACCATGTTCCACAGTCATATAGTAGATCACAGCACGGTATTCAGCCTTTAATAGGCAGTCGGATGTCAAGGTACTGACATAAGTGAAGTAAGTTGGCGAAGACCAAGTGAGCGATGTGTATCCATGATGAAATCTTGTTGGTCACTGACCCATTCGGACTGATCTGACTCCTCAGACAAATGAGGTCTTCAACACGCTCAGTTACTTCACTTCTTGTTACTGGACGAGATAATACCGAAAACCAGTTTTAGAGTAACAACTTGCATTTGACTGGTGAGAAACGCATTCCAAATACTCTCAAATTGTCACTCAAGGTATCCCTGAACAAGCTCGGACAAGACGTCTGTGTGAAACGTTGGAATTATTTACTTAAAACACGCTGATATTTATACAAATACAACGGATGTAATTACCACAGTAATAATAATTATTATCATTATTGTTATTGCCATTATTATCATTGTCTCCATAGTTACTACCTGCATACCTCAATACCTTATTACTGCATACAAAAGTCACTACGACTGGCTGGTTTTTTTTTACTTAGTTAAAACCATGTACATCACAGTGAAGCCTAAGACGTCACTGGAAACATTATTGTTCGCTAGCAAGTCATACCTCGATTTCAAAACTAGAAAGTCTTAAAATTTTCCTACACTAGGCTAAAGTGAAATGTTTAGGACAGACAACGAAGGGTAGGAAATAAGACACAAGAAACCTTATTACTGAATGATTATGGCTGATTTGATTCGGACATTCACAAGAAATTGTCAGGTGACTGACAAACAAGTAGTTTATACTAAATGATGGCAAAAGTAATACATAATTCGAAACTTTTATAGTGTCACCATACACGAAACAAAACCTAAATACTTTACGTAGAATTCTCAGCGGATTTGGGACTAGGATCACACATAAATAAAAAACTGATCGGGAAACAAGTGTAAACTAAAGCATCTTGTGGGGGTCACTAGGTAAAATAATTAAGTTTATCAAATTAAATACTACGACTGTGAGGTTGAGAGGGCCGACTGGGGACATCACACGTCAGGCCAGGTCCTCGAGTGGAACCCAGATGGGAAGCGACGAGTTGGGCCTCCGAGGGTGACATGGAGATCGTGCAAGAAAGAAATGAGAGCTTGTGGGTAGTCGTGGCGACACGTTCAAAAGATTGCAGAGAACAGAGTGCACTGGAGGCGTGCTACTGAAGCCCTATGTTCCATTAGGAACCCAAGAGATAAATGAATAAAAATAAATAACTGAGGTTGAAGGAACAGGTGCAACTAACGGGTCAGGGTCAACTACGTTAACCGCACAAAAGTGTGGTCAAATGTAGAAAAGTGGATCGTACCAAGATAAATCAAGAGAAGAGCTCGGGTGTAACAATCCAAGCAAACAACAGGATGAGAAAAAGTAGCAGTCCTGCAAAATAACTTAGTAGGATGGAGGGAGAAGTTGGTGGATGATACATTGTTTGTCGAACCAACATAGAAAACAGGCAGCAGAATTAAGTCAACACCTGTTTCGGATCTTCGAAAACTCTACTACCTCTTCGGCAAAAGAAGAAATAGAAATATAAGAACAGTGTGAAAATTGAGTTAGCGTTTGCAACGTCATTCATTGAATAATAGTTCTCCCGTTGGTATCCAACCAAATCTTAAATGAGGCAAACATTGAATACAAATTTGCGATCGCTACTAACATCGAGACATGACACCAAGCTGCATACACTCAAAGTGAAAAAGAACTTTACTTATCCTTTACATGATTTCGGCACATGAGCTCGTAAGTGAATCCAAGAAAAAAAAGCAAGGACTCTATCTTATGACAATATTGAAGAAGTTATTAATGTTTTTAATAGCTAACTGTCAGAAAATGATGGTCTCTTAACACAATTACCAGAAATTACCTCCTCTGGGTCGTCAACTTTATATGTGAGCTTCCCAATAGCATCTCCTATGTTCTTCATCACTTTAATTGCCGCAGCTCCAGATAACAACTGTGTATTTGTCGCGCGTCGGAGTTCTCCATCGTACTGAAGAAACTCCCGAAGGTCCTCATCGGCACGCAAAACTTCATGGGCCAGGACTCGTGTAAGAAACCTTTGGAGTAATTCATAAACACCTTACCGTTCTAGTGCCATTCTACGGCGTTCAACAAATTCATTTTCGGCTGAGGCATCCTTAGATATTTTGACTTTAGTTGTCGCTAAAAAATAAAATACAACAGCAAATCGTTACCCAGCATATCCTTAGAAGGTACTGGGGGAACAATAACCCCTTCTGGAAGATACTTTGCAACTAATCGTTCATACAGTCCGAGGAAATCAGAAAACCGCCTAAGAACTGAGAATTCTTTTTCTAGAAACTGAAAAGTAACAGCTGTTACAATAACAAACCTGTGTATTGACACGATAAACTATGTAGGAGGAAATCCCTTCACCAACCTTAGCAGGACTGGTGACCTTCACTAGGGGTTCACTAGATGTCGCGCACTATAACTTAGAAGAAAATTAGTAAGTAACATACTACTGACGTTTCTTTCTCAGCGTTAGTGGGTGGAATGAAATGTGGAACAGCTACCTCATGCGCGTAGCCAGAGTTGAAGCCTAAACTAGGGCTATTAGACTCTTTAGTGATGCATCCAGTACTTCTGTTCAGCTAGCGAAAATTATTCACATCATGGAACACTTACATCTAGCTCAGAAAAGTCATCCTCCAACATTGTACAGTAACGTCCCTTTTCAACTTGGCGCTAATTCCAGCATGCAAGCCAATTATGCTAAGGAATTGTCAGTTTCTTAGCCGTCGCATTAGCTTGATGAAGCCTAGCTGCTGTCATTCCGCTCCCAATATCCAATGACCTCATACCAGTAGCTGTAAATCAATTAATTTTTGCCCTTGATTCCAACATTAACGTCAATAGTGAGAGTAGAGACAATTTGTGGTTTTGAGCTCTCTCTTCTAGGTCCTGAGTCTCAGTTCTTTTCGTTAGGTTATGCGCCTTCGGTGGCCACAGAAGTCTTTACTTTTTTTCTGCTTATGCTTTGGAGGTAGTGATTGTTGGTTGGAAGGTATTTTTCTTACGAATTGTAGCCTGGTTTGTTCTGAGGGCCAACAAGGCTGCTGATAAAACCAATTAACCTTTTGCAATCCCCGTTTTTGTAAGCACCCGCAAGCAGCTATTAAGCGTTGTGCTAAACGTGCTAGAAATAGGGTGGGTGGGGAATAGGAGAAAGAAGAGTGAAAGGTACTTATGAAAAATAAGTATTAATTGTAATAATGCGGAGAAGGAATGCATCTCATAGCAGACACTAGGGTTAAGGATTACGGGGGATGGTCCGTCGACGAATATTAGTGGTGAGCTGTTTGCGCCCACGTGCCTATCCAGCAGTCGTTTGGAAGAGTCAACTGATGTAGCTGTGGCTACTTCCTTCGGCAGAGCTATTCATGAAGTATATACTCCGTGTGAGAAGTTTGATTCCACTCCCTTCTTTGCCATTCGGTGGGGTATGCGAGTGAGGTTCTCGCGAGACTCAGACTGACGATAATGCTGATCTACTGGGCTGGCCCACCTAGCGAATCTTGTGGGCTGTTATTAGGTCACTTTTTTCCTTTCGATAACTTAGTGTGGACGACCTGAGTTGTCTGAGGTGTTGTACATATATTTTGCCTGTTAGTCCTACGACCAACCTCGTCGCTCTTCACTGCACCTTGTCGATAGTATCCGCGTCTGTCTTAAGTAGATGAAGCAGTCATGTTGAATACCTCATTCGTGTGGTCTAGCATAGAATTTAAATACCATGACGAACAACTCTGGAGCTGGCGCTGCGACCTGCCTTCTTAGAAGGTGGATGGTAGCGTTCACCTTTATTGCCATTCCCTTATGATTGGCACAAGTATCCAATGTGTTAAAGAAGTTTGGTCCTGGCTGCCTCTCTGTGGGTACCGTGATGACTGCACACTTGTTGAGGGCGTGGCTGATTTCATTGCCTCTCATTTGCAAAAATATTGCACCTCGCATTTCTCCGGGTTAAAGCTGAAACCGCTCGCCGCAAGCCAAGACTTCAACTGTAACAGATCGTCTCAAAGCACTGCCTTGAGGTTCTCTTCCCTGCCTAATGTCCTCCGTCGTTTTCTGTCGTCGGCAAGTGGGAGGATAGATGCAGGAATCTTATTAGGAAGGTCAGTGGTAAGTGGTAAAAATACGGGTGGTTCAAGGATCTCCCCTTGAGAAACTACCGCTCTTATACTCCTTCAGGCTGTAGGCCGTGCTAAGAGTAGCTCAGAGATACCCACCTCTGCCAGCTTGGAGTGCATGGTGCAGCGTTGGATGCTATCAAAAGCCTTGGCCAAGTCCAGAAAGATGCCGTGTGCTGGTCGCTGGTTGTCCCATCTAGTGGTGCAGCTACCACAAGCGGTCATCAAGTTTGTGATAAAAACCGCGCGGTTCTGAAGTCATGATGGGTAGGATGAACGATGTCGTTTCTGTTCAGGTGGACCCAAACAACATCCGCAATCAGGCTTTTCAGTACCTTGGATAGTATAAGAAGTAATACCAGCGCTACACTAGTTGCATGGCTTTTTCGGTCTCCTCCCTCGAAAATTGGCGAAAGAATAGAGCGTTTCAACTCTTTGTGGAGTTGACTTACTTCCGACTAGCGTTTGGTATGCCTAGTACTTCGGCACAACTCCGTATAACCATCGGTCTTATATCGTCACAACCCGGAGATTTGCCTATCGTTAGTGTTGAAAGTTTCTCGGACGCTTGGTTTGGCAAAATCTCTACTTTCAGCAGCTTCTTGTCACGGGTCTGGAGCCTCGTTACATTACTGGATTTTGGTAGCGGACACATCACTGTGCTGAGCTGCTCATCAAATCGCCTGCCCGACGGTTTCACGATCCCGCTCTTATTCGGGTGTTCTCCGGTCGGTCCTGCGATCAGGTTTGAACTTTTATTCTTCCCTTTTCGTTGTGATGTAAACCGATAAAGACTTTTCGGATTATAATTTAGCTGTTTGTTCAGGTCGTTGTCAGAGGCGTACCCGCCATTACGAACACTTATATTACCTAAGTTGTGCAGCTTCTTATACCTAAGAGGGCCCGATTCCTATGCGATATGCACCACCAATACCATGCCCTCTTTTCCCTCTGTACATGACTTTGAGTTGTGCGAGTTACCCAAGACCGTTTAGGGGTGTGGTCTTCTGGTTAATTTCGGAACGCTTTTCCATATCGCCCCGGATAATATCTTTGGTATGTATCCAGTGTTCATTCGCAGACAGTGAGTGCTATTCTTGTGGTCGTGTAGCCTCCAGGAGTTCATTGTTCATGAGGTTGTAGTGCACCTTCCTGGCACCAAAATATAACTAGGGCTAAAATAAATAGTTTAAATTAAATTAACTAAATAAATCTCTAGCTTGCCTCCGGATGCTTAGGGTGTTTTAAGTTTTGTTTTAACGAGCATGCATCCGAGCAGGCTTGGACGCCATTTTTGCGCTCCATTGTGCTGATTACCACGCACGTACTCCGAGTCCCTAGTTCAGCCTTACAAGCCAGATAAGTTGATTAAACTTTTCCCTCATTCATTATTATTACATTTACCTTAAATACATAGCTCCTTTAAATACATTGCGTATCAGTTCTTTTGATTTGTGTTTTGTTACCAGTACTTACACGTTAGGTAAAGTACTGGTTAAGCAGGTACTAGAGCACATCAAATTAAGTAGGGTTGATCAAACGTTACGGAATTGTAACACGCATCCCTACAAAATTGGTGAGCCCGAGTATCACTTCTTATTTTGTCTAGTACCTTTGTTCTCTTGCGTTGATTTGTCTGGCCTATTTTGTTTTTGGCACGTCTAGCGTTTTTTTTTATTATTGCACTCCTCATTGGTTATTTTTGCATTGTAATTTTTTTTATTATCACTATCGTGCCTCGTTAATTCCCTGATCAATGGCGGATAACGACTCGACTGCGCAGATGGCCATAACCCTCCAGCTTCCCACCTTCTGGGCCCACAGACCATCTGCATGGTTCTCCCATGTGGAAGCTCAGTTTGCCTTGAGACACATTCAATCACAAGAAACTAAGTCCAACTTAGTCATCGTCAGCTTACCGGAAAATGTGATCGAAGACGTCTCAGATGTGCTAGATGACCCAGCACCGAATCTTTACGATCGCCTCAAAACCGCCCTCATCAAACGTGTTGCACTTACTGACCAGCAGAAAGTGCAAGAACTTTTCAGGGATGTGCATCTGGGTGATCGCAAGCCGACGCAACTGCTTCGTCAGATGAAGCAGCTGATTGCTGACTTCAACATTGATGAAGCATTTCTCAAGCAACTGTGGTTACAGAGGTTACCACAGTCGGTTCAAGGGATCCTCGCACCCTTCCATAAGTGTCCCTTAATAGAGTTGGCGGAAGCGGCTGACAGAGCTGTGGATGCTACGAAACCCAACACTAGTATCTCAGCTGCACTGTCTACTGCCACGGATTCGTTCAAAAACCCACATCCTCCCTCGGCTGTTGAGCCAACAAGTTTCGATGTTATAGCTCACATCTCGAAATTGTATGAGAGTTGTGCAGCATCAGGAACGAAATGCGGTCTGGTAGTTCTTCCAACGGTCGCACGTCTCGCTCGCGCAACAGGTCTGCCTCCCGTACCGGTAGCAGACGTTCCAAATCGCGACAATCCCAACCCAGGTTGTGCTGGTACCATAAACGTTATGGTGCCAATGCCAAAAAGTGCACTCGACCTTGCACCTTCGAGGCTAACCAGGCGGGAAACGTGTGAGCCAGCACGTGACGGCGACTAACGTCGCTGGCGAGCCACTTCCATGTCGCCTCTTCTTCGTCACTGATCGACATTCTGGGATACGCTTCCTAGTTGACACTGGGGCAGAAGCTAGCGTCATCCCACCTACGAAGGAAGAGCGTCTGCGGCCAATGTCTCTGCAACTTCGTGCCGCCAACGGTTCGCCCATCACAACCTATGGTCGGAGATTCCTCGATCTCAACCTTGGATTGCGTCGTCCCTTTCGTTGGGTTTTCATAGTGGCAGATGTGACCACCGGCATTATTGGTATGGATCTCTTGCAGCACTATCAGCTGCTGGTAGATGCTGGCAAGCATAAGTTGATAGATTCTACCACAACACTCTCTGTTTCCGGTATAGTCACAAAGACGCCGCCCCTCAGTCCCGTGTACTGCACGACGGACGCTTCTAGTCCCTACGCGTCTATCATTCAGTCCTTTCCGGATGTCTTTAAGCCAAGTCGTTGTGTCCCTTGTGTGACTTCGAACGTTTCTCATCACATAACGACGACTGGCCCGCCAGTGTTTGCGAAACCACGGCGATTATCCCCGGAGAAACTGCGTGCTGTAAAAGCCGAGTTCGAACACATGCTTGAAATGGGAATAATCAGACCATCCAACAGTCCATGGTCTTCACCCTTGCATGTGGTACCCAAGAACAATGGCATGGACTGGAGGCCTTGTGGTGACTACCGAAGGCTCAACGCTAAAACGATTCCAGATCGTTACCCAGTCCCTCACATTCACGACTTGACTGCATCTTTAAAAGGCTCGGTTATCTTCAGTAAGCTTGACTTGACGCGTGCATATCATCAGATCCCGGTTCATCCTGATGATGTTCCCAAGACAGCCGTCATTACACCGTTTGGTCTTTTTGAGTTCCTCCGTATGCCTTTTGGTCTTCGCAATGCAGCACAAACCTTCCAACGTTTTATTCAC